TATATATATTTTTTTTTTTTTTGGTGATTTTTTTCTATTCTCTTTTTTCTTCTTTTTTTTTTCCTCCAGGAGTAGAATTTCAACAGCAAAATATTGTGCCAAGAGACTCTCTTCAACCACTGATGTTGTGGCTATCCACAATGGGAAAATCGTTTTCAGAAGGTACAGCACCAGCAGCCAACTACCAGGTTTGGTGTTTGTTTTCCAGGAAATAGAAAAACCAACTACACGACTAGTAATACTGGACTACCATTTCTTAGAATAAAGAAAATTGACAAATTCTGGTCTCAACTTTGACATAGGTCTCAAAGAGGATGCCAAACCAAGCCTTGCACAATCTGAATTGGGCGACTCTGATGTTGAGACGGAGACCGTAGTCTCCTTTTCCAAAACGACTCGAAACTCGCGGGACAGTCCAACACATGGTGGTGAAGACTCAAGGAGTGACAGTTTCATTTCAAGATCAGATTCTCTTCTCACAACAGATTATTGCTCTATGGACAATAAACCTGGTTGGCCTCTACTTAGAAGAGCAAATTTAGTGGCCCCACAAACGCCAAAGGCAAGGAATGAGTCTGTGGTTCAATGGGTAATGAACTTACCAGATCGTTCTCCGCTTCAACCTCTTCAGCGTTCAACTATTCTAGAGAATTCCAATATGGAAACAGAGATTAGTGACAGCTCAAAGATCAGATTATCAGCTTTTGGTGAGGCACCAGAAGGATTGAAAAAGCTCTTGCAAACAAGCTCATTCGGCTGCAATTATTGGTTCAGTCTTGATGTTCTCAAGACTTCAACTAGTCAATTCTCTTCAGGTTTGTAATATATATTCTGTTGTTATGATCATTTAGACTTCAAACTTGTGTGATTTGGCTGACCATATGCTTTTTGCATTGACAGAAAATGTGATTGGAAAAGGAGGGTCTAATTGTGTGTACAAGGGTACTCTTCCAAATAGGAAACTAGTGGCGGTAAAGATTCTCAATTCATCCAAAGAAGGGTGGAAAGAATTCGCCCTTGAATTTGACATAATCTCTTCCTTAAAGCACAAGCATATTGCTCCTTTGGTCGGTGTCTGTGTCGAAGATAATGCTCTAATTTCGGTGTATGACTTCTTCCCTAAGGGAAGCCTAGAGGAAAACCTACATGGTAAAGCTTCACTTTGGCTCATCTTCTTTCTATTTACTTGCAAAGATTGACCAAAAAAATGAGATTGTTAAATGATTATTGATAGCTTTTAATCGATCACATATTCATATGTCAGCTCTAATGATTATGTATTATGTGACAATTTCTGATTGATTAAAGGACTAGTCATGTTTAGCATTTTTCTAATGCGAAATGCGACATTCGATCTTAGGCAACAACAAGGACAAGGGTGTATTGTCATGGGAAATGAGATATAGCATTGCTGTTGGGATAGCTGAGGCCCTCTACTATCTGCACAAAGAATGCCCTCAACCTGTGATTCACAGAGACATAAAGACTTCAAACATCCTTCTCTCAGATGGGTTTGAACCAAAGGTGCTAGCTTCACTTACTATCACCAAATATTCAAAGTATGATATGTTTGATTCAGATATTCCTTACTAACTGGAATTGCATTTTTTTTCTTATGTTGGCAGTTGTCTGATTTTGGTCTTGCTATATGGGGCCCAAAAACTTCATCTTTTCTAATTGAAGGCGACGTGGTTGGAACGTTTGGTTATCTAGCACCTGAATATTTCATGTATGGGAAAGTCAGTGACAAGATTGATGTTTTTGCTTTTGGTGTTGTTCTTCTTGAACTGCTATCAGGAAGAAGGCCTATTGGCTCTGATTGTAATAGTTCCAAGGGACAAGAGAGCTTGGTCATGCGGGTAAGTTAAGACTAAACTAACCTCACAAAAGCCGAATTAAACTTTGGACCTTTTTCCGCGGTAAGTTATGCTTTTGAACGTAAGATCTAATCAAAATCACAATAAAATCAAAACATATACACAACTGACAGAACCTAATAAACATCTGACAATTTAGAATAGACTCCTTAAAACTTTTATTTCCAAAGAACAATGTTCTTTTGTATGGTGGATAGTATTGACATAGTGAGATTGTGCGGTATTGAGCGCAGGCAAAGCGAGTTATAGAGATCGGGGATATAAAGAGCATGTTGGATCCAAATTTGGATGGGAAAGTTGACGAGCTTCAAATGCAGAGAATGGCTCTTGCAGCTACTCTATGCATCACTCAGTCAGCTCGGCTTCGTCCTGGTATTAGCGAGGTAACAAAATTTGCAAAATTATAATTTTAAGAAGAGTCGCGAAACTCTTAATTGTCGTATGGTCTAGAATGATCAATAGTAAAGAATAGACCGTCACGATTACAAACTAGTTTGACGATTGATCAGTTTCTTCCTTTCTTAGTAAATTCTCGTGAAGATATCATTTTCTTAGTTTGAAAATGTGTTGGAGTGAGGATAATAAACTTACCCTTTTTAACCCTTCAGATACTAAAGCTATTAAAAGGGGACAAAGATGTAGAAAAGTGGACAAACTCCAAAAGTGAATATCAACAGGATTCAGAGAACCAGGATGATAAAGATGATGAAGTTTATCCAACAACAAGTGCAGAGTTGCATCTGGGTGTTGCTTTGCTTGATGTTGTTGATGATGACACGACGTCGTTTAGTAGTAGGAGCCACAGCATTTCATTGGAGGAGTATTTCAAAGGAAGGTGGAGTAGATCACCAAGTTTTGATTAGATTTTTCTTTTCTTTTGTTACACGATTATTTTTCTGATTGCAAAGCGACTTTTGGATAATGTAATTTATGTTAGTACAGTAGCGAAAAGTGGACAATGAAATGTGCACCCAATTTTGAGGTGGTTTGTAGATCAGTAAATAAATAAAAATCTCATGTATAATGGTAGTATAAAACAGCAAAAAATTACTGGGAAAAAAAATTAAAAAGTCTGTTTGAAAATTTTTAGTTTGACTACTTCTTGTACACTGGCGGTTTTTTTTTTTTCCCTTTTATTGTAAAAACCACTATCGATGTTAAACACCATCACTAATAAAATATAATATGAGATTACTTATAGGTCTCAATTCTCGCGCTTTGTGACTCACATTTTATTAGTGAGTTCAGCACTAACATTGCTCTTTCTTATATCTTGGTATAAAAAACACACGTGTACTTGTTTACCAATCCAACTTCTTGGTCAATGGCATCTTTCTGAAAAACTTGTGAATTCTAGAGTGAAGATGCTGATTAAAGATTGCCATCACAAAAATGAATTAGGATCCATGCTCAATGCCTTGAATTTATATAAGTACAATAAAATTTGTCAAAACTTCCGTCACTATCTTATCTCCAACTCTTTTTTTTTTTTTCTTCTTCTTCTTTTAGGGAAAATAAGCAACATCATGTCATGGACAAATAAGTGCAAAATAGCCTGTTTGAGATAGGTGTTATCTTATCTCTAACTTAATCATTATTCAATATTCCTTTAGCAACAAAAAAAAAAAGAATCATTATTCAATATACTTCTTTAATCTCTAATATGATTGAAGATGTCAATATAGGCTTGGTCCTTGCCGTTTGAAGCTTGCTTCATTGAAACTTGAAAAGGCGTAAAAACCGTTTTTGCCACACTCGTAACTATAACCTTTTACTCTTTCTTCAATTGAATGGAATTGTTATTTTCATTTTTAAAAAATGTTAGACACGTATTCATTTTCGTATTTCTTAATACGCTCCATATTTTTTCATATCCATTCTATTCCAATTATATTAAGTGAGAGGAGAGCTTTCGCTATTAGTTGCACTTCTAAAAAATATATATATTGATTAGCAATATATATATATATATATATATTTTTTTTATAACACTGTTTTTAATTTTTAATCACTGTCAGTAAATAACATACGTAATTATAAAACATACTATCATAACTATTGATAATTACTGAAATAATTTGACATGATAAAATAATTAAGATCAAAACTATTTATGAAATATTTTTATTATTAGGACTATTTTCATAAATGTCTCCCAAACTATGTACATTATTTCAAAGTACTTTCTAATTTTTCAAAACAGTTTAAAATACTCCCAATTTACAGAAAATGATTCAAAATGTCCCTTCAGTTAACTTCCATCTATAATGTTGCTAATGTGGCAATGCCATTAAAGATTTATAAAAGTATTTTAAATTACACACTTTAATCATTAATTAAAAAAAAAACCCATTAATACTAATATAAAATTACATAAAAATCAAATAAAATTTAAAGGCTAGTAATAAAACAAAATAAAATTAAAAAAAAAAAAAACTAACCACAAATCTATACAACATCTTCTCCATTGTGTCGGCCTTTTTCTCCAATCACCAAAAGGAAGGAATTCCCAAAAGTTAAACTATTGCGGCTTAGTTTAGTAGTGCTGTAGATTTTGAAAAAATTACTGAAGGAAAAAGTAACTATTATAAAAAGCAGTTGAGTGTTTGGTAAACTATAATTATAGTAGTTGTGTTGGTTCTAAAATCAGTATAATAGCGTTTGGTAAATTATGAGGTTAAATTATTGCAAATAGTTAAAAATTACGACTATATTATACAATATTATATGATAATATATATAATTACAATATAATATTTATTTATTACTATATTTAATATAATACAAAAAAACTATTATTATATAATATATTATATGATTAT